CTGTGATACAAGGGCAGGCTCTGTATAATGAGGTTTACCGCACACTTACAGATCTGAATACTCAATTGAACTGGCAGCTACACATTGGTAATTATTCCGATAAACATTCTCACTTGACAAGGCTGTTTGGTGCATCTGTCCCATTTGACAGCGACTTGCACAAACGGGGAGCTTACAACAGACATTGTTCCATGTCTGCTTCATCTGTATTCTGTGTCAGTTTGGTTTATGTGTTCATCAATCATGTACAGCATCACATTATCGTTACATGATATTATTCAGGAGTTGGTTTTCAATTAAGTTTATTTGAGGTTTTGATATGGCCCCCAAGGACTTCCAGAGATGGGAGTCATTGTGATTGGTGGAAACATGGATGGAATAATAACTAGGACATATTTGCGCATATCAATCAATCACAACAAAACATGGACACTGAAGCCTTGACAAGCTGATTAACATATTTGTTGTCAGTATCAGTTGAAACTACACAGTCATTTAATAGTATGATGTGCTTGAGAAACACTTGAACTGTATTGGAAATTGAGTCGTATTAGTTTTGGGAGTAGTACCATAGTAATAATAATAATAATGGATAGCATTTGTATAGCTCTAATCTCCGAAAGGACTCTTTGCGCAGTGGTATCAAGTCTAGGAATTGGTATTCATGGCATGTTATAACCTTATGATCATTATTACATAGTCACATTGGTTGACCTTATTTGGAATTTCCGGGATGTAGCTCTTGGTATCGTCTTGACAGAATTTAGTCTGACAAGCTGTGATTGTGCCAGAATAGGTCGGTGTGACCTTGACCTTTGGCTACTATGGTTGACAAATTGAAATGGATGGTAATGGGTTTGGGTCTGTTGCCGTGATTCAAAGCGTGTGTTGGAGCACTGTCACCATCCCTGTTGGATCATGGGGGCGTTCTCGTCTCCAAATTATGTCTACTCCATTTCAAAATGCATGCTTTAATGTTGTCGGCCTACTGTTTATGACACAGCTTCTGATAGTGTGCAGGCTGAATTAATTTAGAGTAGAACAAAAACCAGCTCCAACTATTAGCAAAATGCATTACCTTCCATACACGATGTTTGTGAAGGACTTCCTGGGGATTATGAGAGGATACTGCTCACTTTGAGGTGCTGTCATTGAAAGAATGGACTTGGGGCGATGACATATTGGATACTGACAGTAATGGGGCCAGGGCACAGCTGATTGCATTGTATCACATGACAGTCTTTGTACCATTTACATTCCAACAGACTGTTCTGTTGACAATAATTGCTGCAAATTAACAGGAATGTAACAAAATCTCCACTTTAGCAAGGGAAGAGGTCAAGGTCAAGAGGTGGTGAATACAAAAGTTAGCATTCACCCATTCTGATATCTCACTTCACTGTAAGGACGTTTATTGTCAAAAGGGGAAGGACACGGTTTACATCCATGATTATCAATATTAGTTACAACACTGGAATAATATCTTCAACTCGAAATGAGTGGAAGGTCGCGGGTTCGATCCCCGACTGTGTCATACCAAAAGACGTTAAAATATGGTACTTGTTGGTCCCTGCCTGGCGCTCGGCATTAATGGGTACAACAAGGACTGGTCGGCTCGGTGTCAGTATAATGTGTCTGAGAGGGGTATTCATGTTTCACTGCGGCATGGTATCTCAGTGGGCTAGCACTATAAAACCAGCTTAAGTCTGGGCTAGTACAAGCAGCCGCACCTACAAATACACACGCTTGCACGTCGTAATAGGAGCGAAATATTCTCAAGCACGACGTTAAACCCAATTTCACCTCACCTCAACTCAACTCGAAATGTTGTCCGATGAAAGTCACTGAGTGATATTGTGATATATTGTATGACTATAAATGAGACAATTCAAGGTTAGGCAGACCCATATTTTGAATATTTGTTTAACTAAAAATGAGGCAGTTAGGAAAGAATACAGTCCAACAGAAATCAATTTCAGTTTCAAAAGGCTGTTTCATTCAGACACAAATGTGACCTATATATCCAAGTACATTAATTATGTATCAAGCACCTGCTATAACTCTACTACACCAGTACATTGTCACTGAATTGTCCAGGCTGTGTGTGTATTGTTACAGCCATGAAAATGTTGAACTACTGGTTCATTTTTGAATTTGTGATGTAGAATGTTTACTCTCAACTCAGGTGATAAGTCCTTCTGTTGATCAATATGTGTGTTGTTTACAAGTTTCATCTGATGACAAAACCAATAAGTACCTAGCTCGAGTGTCTGATAAAGATGAACATTTTCATTATTTGCTTGTTTGAAGGATTCAAATGTTTGAAAGTTGGATGATATACTGAACAACAAAATTAGGGAACATGGATATTGTGGGGATATTTTTACAAAATTTTCTGCTTTATCTTAACTTAAGAAAAATATCACTAAAACATTCAAGAACCCTTTTTGAAAATTGGATGATATACTGAACAACAAAATTAGGGATCATGGATATTGTTGGGATATTTTTACAAAATGTTCTGCTTTGTTTTCACTACAGAAAAATATCACTAAAACATTTACGATCCCTTTTGTTCAATATATATGTTAAGTGCATATTTTTATTTCCTTTTTTGTAGTGCTGAATTTGCTTGAATTGTTTTTGTGTGAAGAACTTTTTGAACTGATGCCTTCCATGAATCATCATTTTCCTGATTCTACAGGTTTGTCAAGTATTTGGCGTTTTTCACCCAGCACACGGTTTTAAACATTGTGAAACAATTGAAACGACTTTTAAATTATTCAGTATAGATCTATTGATTTCTACACGTCAATCCATTTGACAATTATCAGGTGAACTAGTGATGATGGCTTACATGATGAGTACATCCGAACAAACATCTTAGAGCACTACCAAGATGTTGTACAGAACAAGAATAGGGAATTTGGCTCCCTGAAGAGATGTTTGCTTTTGACTCGTGATCCACTTGTCAATTTACTTGTCCTAGCTTGTTGTCGGGGGAATAGCATGAATAACCTGTCAGAGCCAGTTGTCATGGAACAATCATCCACTGACTGAAATTTTTCTCAAACTAAATGAGAAAATGGTCTTGTACTGAATAAAGTAAACTTTTTCAATTGATTTAATAGATACTGTAACAAATAATCCTTATTCTTAAACACAACATTTCTTGTTGAAAACATAGAAAGTACTCCATGTACTATATTGGTCCTCTTTTGAATGCTATCAGAATATTTTCAAAACGTAGATACTCCATTGGATGCTTTTGATTATTTGTTAAAAAAACAGGAATATTGATTTTTTTTGTTTGACTTCATTCATATTTACCATTGAAGTCAGCATGGAAAATACACCCGAGAGTAATGTAAAGGCATGTGCTATTAATTAGACACATGACGCTAGTACCACTAGTTTAGACTCATACAGTGTCTGGCCTGTACTACTGGCCCTAAGTGGAGACCAACAGGAACTTATGGTCAGGGTTGTGGATTCATGTCACAATATCCCAGAAGCATGTATCGATCCTCATGATGTCTATCATTGGGTTGCCTGTTTCAGATATAATTCGCACTCCCAGTCACAAAGCTGGAGTGAGTGAGTGAGTATGGTTTTATGCCATTTTTAGCAACATTCCAGCAACTTCACTGCAGGGGACACCAGAAATGGGCTTTACACATTGTACCCATGTGGGGAATCGAACCAGGGTCTTCGACGTGATGAGTGAACGCTTTAACCATTAGGCTACCCCACCGCCCCTACAAAGCTGGAATATTGCAGTGTTCAACAGTAGCCCCACCACCCATCTCTCTGTGGACTCATTTGAGGACACGAAGACCTCCAGCTATCCTGTGCCACAAATGGCAAATATGATTATGCTAAAGAGAAAGCGTTTTATTCACAGAACAGAGCTCATTTATACATTAACTCGGAGAATTTACCATCCTAATTATGAGAGTTTGTTTCATCAAGCCTGCACGCATCATATCCTGCAAATGCACAACTGTAAGCTCAGCTGGAACTAATCACTCTGCAGGCCAAAGTCCAACTCTGTACCAATGATTAGGTAAACCTGTGAACGCTGTTGCCACTGATGTCATGAATATGTGGACCATGACAATTGCTACTACAATAGTTACTATCATCAGGACACGTGTGGCATCTGGCATCAGATCTACATTATGAATTTATGTGTGAATAACATTTTGTTTTGATGTTTGTTCGATGCCATGAAATATGGAGTGCCTTATGGTTGGGTTTTTTTTAATTGTGCCCGAAAGTCAGGTGGTCCATGACCACCCTGATAATAAAGGTACACGTTCAGGACCCCTTGGTGCTTGGTTCTGGAACTATCAGATAAGACAAGGGGCACCCTAAACACCAACACAACCACATTTATGAACTCTCTATTTGAACTAAGATTGCAACATATTTTAATTTTTATTCCAAATGGAGCTTTACTTTTCTGTTAGGCCTTTTTTTTTCTTCAAGAAAGACAGAAAAAACACTTGATATAAAGCCAATGTATAAGCAACTAATAATTAATGAAAGGCCACAATTTATTAATTAACTGTCAGAAGCAACATGTTAAGTTTCATTTTCACATGTATCAGGTACCACAGAACACTGTTCAGGATTATTGTGGTGTTGTCCAGTTAATGCTAATGTCCATTGTTGTCGCTCAACAGTGATGCAATCACAGAAGTTCCATTGTATGATACAACTGCCTGGAATACTTATAAATGAAAGCCAGTAAAGTTTATGACTTGGTACGATCATGGTTTGGTACATTTTGCAAGTAGTGCTGTTGTTTCGATGGGATACATCAGTAAGTCGTGAGGAAGTTTGGATCAGTAAAAAGTATGTCATAGTTTCTGCGCAGTGTACATGTCTATGACAAGACCGCACTCGCTCTCGGTGTGGGTAACATGATCCTCCTATCGTATGTACAAGATTAGGAGCCAGCTACTGTTTTGGTGGATAATATCCAATGTTCTTACCTCTCGGTTCACTATACGGAACATGGCACTGGTTGGCAGAAGTTACGAGGACACTTGAATTGGACATTCAGGAAACTGACCACCATGATGTATCACGCTACTCTGCTACTCATCCCATGGTACACTGTCCACTGTGGTCTGCCAGAGGAGGCACCATATGAAGACAAGCGTGTAACACCTTCCTCACAGAGACAAGAGAGTATCAACATCCAGAACAAACAGTACTCCACTACCAGCTTACTGAAGCTGAGAATTAATCATTTACAGCTAGGACGTGGAGTCGTAACTGCTACATGGAGCATGTAGATTCAGCGGGGCACAACTGCTTGTGTATGTCGGTATCCATGTCAGTTCTCCATTTACCATGGAATGTCCTCCTTGTCTGTCACCCACTGCATTGACGCTAGAGATGCTTCCTTACAAACAGTGCAAACTGCATGCTTCAACTCTAAGGTTTAGTCAGCCGCAACCTGCCTGTCAGCTCATAGCCCTGACAGAACTGTGACACTAATAATTAATAAACAGTGGCAGTGTAAAGAATGGCACAATCAACGAGCCATTTCTGTAATGAACAGGGCAAGGTTTGCAGTCGAGGGCCAGTGAGAAGTTACTGGAGACAGTGAGTTGGTGCTGGAGACGTTTTGTTTCCCTTTGTGTCTCAGACCAGATGTGATTCTTGGCAACAGGTCCTTCTCCATAATGCCGTCACACCTTGGTTTGAGTTACGCCTTCAATCACTATCATCATAGTTGTGTGCACATGTTGTGTGCATATATACCACAGGGACATACGACTTGTTATACAATAGCTAGTTGAAATTGCAGCCATCCCAAGAATAGTTGAATGAAGTTATGATCGTATAACCAATGGAGCAACTCTTCTGCATTAATGAACTTAATGGACAATGATGTCTCCTGGGTGTTTAAGTCAATCACATTTCAGAACTTCCTAATGTGGAGTATGTTCATTGTGTGTCAGAGGTTGAATAAGTGATGAGGCTTGTTGGTGTCTTGTCAAAAATAGCAACATCCTGCAGGATAAATCGTCTGTGTCCTCTTTGTTTCCAGTAGTTGACTTCAGTGGAATTTCAATAAGGTAATGATTCAAGCCAATATACAATATTTAATAATCTAACTAACTCAGTATGCGCCCATCAGAGAATCCGTCTGCATTTACCGGCAGCTTTTCATGTCAGTGTATTTGAACTACTTTTCATGTCATGCTGAAAAGTGATTGTAAAATTGATTGTGAATCAGGATATTATTAACAAGCCAATACATCATCATGCTTTGAGAATTGTGAATTATTTATTTAAAAACTTGGCAGGTGCCCTTTGAAAGGTATTAAAAATATTCACTTTCTTTTAAGTCATTTGTTTCAGTTTTGAGGGATGCTTTGTACACTATGGCTGTGTTTTGGTTTGTTACTCATGATATACTGGGTGTTTCAAGTCACTAACTTTTGTGGTGAAGAGTTGCCCCCTGTTAGTGTGCCAGGATCCACTGTGTTTGGATTAGTCACATTTAGTCACTTGCCCATGATTTTCGAAAATGGTAAATGTGTCTTTCTTAGTTAACAAGGATAGGAGTGTCATTCGGTACCAGCTGCAGTTCTTTGGTTTCAAATGGATACTGTTATGAATTTGTCTTATCTAATCAGATGGATAATGGACCATTGGTAATTTTCATTGAGATTCAAGGACTAATGCCTGTCATATGCCTAACATATTTGCTATCATTTAACCTGTGTTCACATCCTAATTTGTCATTGGTCAGTGTACTGTGGAGCCCCAACAAAATTGATCAGAAGACTCCACCACTGGGAAGTTATGAAGTTCAAATGGTCTGTAATGTGCAGCTAAATTCATTTAATGAACAGGTTCCTCCAGTTGTTTCCATATCTTCAAAACATCATTGGATATGAATGGTTATTTCCTCCAATTTAGTAGGAAATGATTATTGAATTGTCTGTTATATCATGCCTTTCAAGCGTTATGACATTTATTAGCCACAGGTTAACATGGCCCATGTTTCCTGCCAGTGCATTGGGGTAATCTGTGGTGAGCGCTTTCTACACTGCCAGTGATGTTGTCAACCCATCAACCATCTACCCACTCACTCACCCACTCATCCCACCTTTCAACCCAATTACCCAGCTATCAAGAAACCCAACCACCGGATCGCTCACCCATCAAAGAACTGGCCCACCCATCCGATCCAACTTCCACATCATCCAAGTCGCACACCCATTAACCCTGATTTTAGTCCTGCTTAAACCCTCTCTGAGGTCACAGCATGTCCATGAAACAACATTCATTCACCCACCACAGTACTCTTTCCAATCCCTGGACCGTGGTTTAGTGGTTAGAGCGTCCGCCCGGAGAGCGGAAGGTCGCGGGTTCGATCCCCGACCGCCTCATACCAAAAGACGTTAAAATATGGTACTTGTTGGCCCCTGCCTGGCGCTCGGCATTAATGGGTACAACAAGGACTGGTCGGCTCGGAGTCAGTATAATGTGTCTGAGTGGGGTATTCATGCTTCACTGCCGCATGGTATCTCAGTGGGCTAGCACTATAAAACCACCTTCAGTCTGAGCTAGTACAAGCAGCCGCACATACACAAACACACGCATGCACGTCGTCATATGAGCGAAATATTCTCAAGCACGACGTTAAACCCAATCTCACCTCACATCCAATCCCTGTCTTGTATTTCCGGTCTTTAACATGCTTGCACTGGGTCTGGTGCCAGCACCACCCAGGAAAAGTTAGTTCATCTTCCTATAAGATCTAGGTGTCAATCTGGTAGTAATCAGACTGTGGAATGCACACTGGTAATAGCCCATAGAAATAAAGCAAATGCATACAGAGTTGGCAGTAGACCACACCAAGGCCCATGCAACAGAACTGTGACTGTCCAGCAACAAAGTCTCTTTTGATAATTCAAGAAAATGACTGTTCCCATGTAACCCAAAACAAGTACAATGTTGATTGGCTGGAAGCATGGCTGCTGAATATGGACAGTGCATTTATCAAGTCATATCCCAATGGTTGTGAGAAGAGATCCAAGGTGCCACTAAATATTGGATGATCAGAGTTATGCCCCCTTGTGTTATTAGGATCAGAGTGACAGGGGATAGAGGGCATTCTGGCCCAACACTTGTCTGGTTTGTATAAATGCCAGATGTTTAAATTCCCTTGAAGACTACTGCTTTTACAGTTGGGCAGAAGACCATTCATTTTGTGAATTAGTGCAAATAGGAGACACTTCCTCCAAAAATATCACTCGTTTTCAAATATATTTAAATTAACCATATATTTAAATTGTCATGCACTTATGTTATTATTGACAGACAAACTTAATATATCAGATTTGGAATGTCAATTAAATTTGTATGCTCATTTGTATATCCTTATTGCAGCTTATTTTTAACCAGTTCACTCTGAATTAGGCTCAGTAAATGTCATTGCTTATGGTATTCTGCGTAGTGCGATGGAAGTTTCATTGACACTATACTTGGTCAGAATTTAGAAATCTGATATCCGTTATTGAGAGGATAGTCATAAAATATAGAAACTTTTCAGCCAAATTCACATATTCTGATGTCATTCAAACTGTGAACCATTGATTAGTTAGTATTATTTACATTCTTAAAAGCCCTAATATGTTTCGAAGCGGAGGCCCTCAGAAATATCATCCAAGTTGACATGTTGAATACATGCGTATACAAGTCACGTATTGAATTGGATTTCACTTTCAGATCGGGTATTATTGATATGCAGCTGCGTATGAAGATAGTTCCTCCTCGGGACAAGATGTCAATAGCTGTAAATCATCAACCATTTTGAGCGATCGTTTCATTGCTTCTTTATCACTTGTTTTATTTACTAAGCAAAAGAATTGATTTGGTCTAATATCCTCTTCACACACTTTATGTTCGGCAATGTTGCTGAGAACTCTGAAAATGGTCTGCTTGGCATTTTAAAGGCAGTTAAGTCATTTGGAGTACTGGGTTGTTTATTCCACTTGAAGAGCAATAGGTTTGGGTTGACATTGGGGCATATGTATGAAAGAATATAATTTTGTATGAATAGGGAGGGATTTATCTGGTTTCTTGTTTATCAGCCATAACCATTTCTTCTCAGGGATTATAAATAACGTTTTAGGAGGGTTTGCTTTCATAACTTTTGAGTGAGCTCACAGCGGATAATTGTTATTCCATAAGATGTACCATATTGACTTCAAGGATGGATGAGTAAATCTTAAAGAGACGATCACTGCTGTGAAAGATGATGTGCAGTTGGTGTAATCCATTCATAACATACTCTAGTCATCTACGGCTCTGTAAATTGCTCTGCAGAATTGCATCTTTTTTGTGTGCAGGAAACATGATTATGGGTTTAAATCCCAATTGAGATCTGATTTGTAGGTTTGTCAGCTCCATACCGATGCTTATAGATTTCCTCAAAGGAAAATGATGAAGTGTTCATTGCTGTCCTCAAGCATTAAGTTGACATTGTATAAAATACATAACTGATACTTGGGTACATTGTATAAAATATGTAACTGATACTTGGGTACATTGTATAAAATACATAACTGATACTTGGGTACATTGTATAAAATATGTAACTGATACATGGGTACATTGTATAAAATATGTAACTGATACATGGGTACATGGTGAGCAATACGTAACCGATACTTCGGCACACTGTATAAAACAACAGATACTTTGGCACATTGTATAAAATACATAACTGATACTTGGGCACATTGTATGACATATATCCCTGATAAAGTGGAGCTTGCAACAGAAAACCAACTTAAAATATTATCAACTCAACTGCAAGATGTGTGCCCACAATGAAAGGCCGAACAATAAAAAAACAAACACACACTGATATAAATTCTTGGGTTCATGTATGTTTGTGTCATATTACCTTTTCTATTGAAGACTGAGTAGACGATTTCAAAAGTTGCATATAAATATATTTGAACTGGTTTTTTTCCCCAAACAATGGATACTCAGCAATGATATGTTGAGACAGAGCATCAAGTGTTGCTGTTAATCCATTTCTATATCAAATTCCAAGTAGCTGATGACAGAACATGACTGAAGGCTATACAGTGGAAGGGACAACAATAACACTGCTCTATGGATAAATTTAAGATGATATTGCTTCCAAATGCACCTAGAAGAAAGAGACAGCACATCTTCTCAAGAGGTTAATGGGGTTCTTGACTGTTCAATGTCGGCAAAATTGAAATTGATGTGCATCATGGAAGATAATTGAATAGATATGATACACCTACACACATTTCAGACTGAAGTGATGACTTGATGAAAATGTTACAGGAGGAGATAATTAGATTTGCTGATGTAGCACATTGGACGTGCTTAATAGATGTGATTTTTGGCCCTAGGCTGTACTTTAAGGGTTTCCATGCCGCCCACTCTGAAAAGAATGTGAAATATAGAGGGGAAAAACACCAAGGAATCTGATAGGAAATATCTTTTTGAGCAACCAAGTCTTAATTTATCTTTTTACAAAATATTTGTGTATATACTGTTAAACTGCAAGATAGTTAAGCAAGACAGGAAGGCACAGGGCACAGGAAAGGTAACAAGGAGTCTCCAGTAACAGTGCATGCCTGGCACAACTTTCACTTACTGTTTTGAGATTATAACAAATATGTCAAATTCTTTCTTACTTTGCTTAACTGTCAGCCTCAATTTCTCACGAAAAACTGCATCCTTAAAGTTCAGAAAAGGTTTGAAATTTTTGAAAATCTGTTCTCACGGGAAGATGCAATATGAAAGGCTGTTTCCACTGGAAAGAAAATCGCATTATGCCAAGACCTATCACTCTGAATTCTTTTTTTCCCTGTCATTGTTCAGGACTATAAGAACACCCTCAAGAAATGTTACAAAATTCCGTCTCTCTCGTGAAAGCGATTATGCTATTTGATGGTTTTAGTCGGTACATTGACGTAATACGTGCCTTTTGGGCATTCTTTATCAAGGGCATAGCCGATCAGGAACTCTACTCTGAGAAGAGATGTCTGAGCATGAAATTTGTCATGGCTTTTTCTGCTGTGACAAATATGCCTCCTATATCCGATTATGTTTTTATCCAGCTGACCTTCCTGTAACACCATGTGTTTCTGTTGATATTTTGGAGAGGACATTGAGAATTGGGTTCAAGGTTTTACATCAGAGGCCCTGGATCTGCTCTTGCTGAAATAGGATCTCGGGAAATTATAGGGGAATCAGAAATAAGAGTTGAGGCAAATGGAGAAAGTAATGTTTGTGGGGAAACCTAATAAAGATGGATAGGAATCGCATCCATATTTGGTTTTTAATGCCTGTCATTTTGTTCTCAGTCATGACACCGCCTTCTCCTTTTTAAAGTGTTGAGAATTTTCAAGACTTGGACCACTCCATAAAGTGACCTTTATAGCTTGACATCATAGTCTGAAGGCATGTGAGGGGTGGTTAGGTAGCCTTGTGGTTAGAGCATTCGCTCATCACGTCAAAGATCCGGGTTCTATTCCCTGACATGGTTACACCTTGTGAAGCCCATTGCTTGTGTCCCCTGCCATGATATTGCAGGAATATTGCTTAAAGCAGCGTAAAAACTCATTCACGCCATGAAGCCATGATATGTTTCGTCAATAGCTGATAGACACTTTCTGGTTTGGCTGACACTTGACAGGTTCCTACCATCTGGAATATTTCTGACAGTGGCGTAAAACAATGTTCACTCACTAATCTGACTATCATTTGACAACCATTCTACAACACTGACTTTGACATACTGCAGTGATTACTTTTTCTTCTTGTTAGTAGGGGCGGTGGGGTAGCCTAGTGGTTAATGTGTTCGCTTCGTCACCCCGAAGACCCGGGTTCGATTCCCCACATGGGCAAAATGTGTAAAGCCCATTTCTGGTGTCCCCCGCATGATATTGCTGGAATATTGCTAAAAGCGGCGTAAAACCAAACTCACTCACTCACTCTTCTTGTTAGTCTGGGTGTCGGTACAGGAGATTGTTGTAATATTGAAACACTGTTGGAGTATTTTAAATTTCATTTTAGTTTGCATTCTATATGTATCTCTGTGTGTCTCTGTGATGTCATTGCTTCATTAACTTTTAAAGAAATGCAGAATTGCAATAAGATTGATTTTCGTTTTTCCCTTCGTAGACAATTTCCAGGTTTTACAGGCCAATAGCCCATTATCAGTTGTGTTTATGGTTGTTGCATGATAGTTCAGTTGTCCAATGACATGCAGGGAGTGTTGCAGCGTGGGTAACGATGGGTTGGAGGGTTGACCTGTCTGAACCCTATGGCCAGTCTGCTGATGTGAATAGGGGAGCTCCCAATAGATCTGGCTCTCCCTTCACAGCGCAGCTCAT